AAAAAAAAAAAAAAAAAAATTGGTTCGTGTGGGAATTGAACACACATCCATCAGGTTTCCTGTAACATGATTAGCCTATTTTTTTCTAATTTGCATAATGAATTTTTCAAACATTTTTGTCCATTTAAAAAAAAGTGCGTATGTTATGGAGATGGTAACAATCAAAAATCGATTATAAATTTAATTCTACATTTTTAGACAAAAAAAATAAACCCTCTTGGCCCACGGCCCATTTTTGATACCATGACCGTGCGTAATAACAACCTGCAGTGTATATATACGAAGAATGTTTTCTATTAGGATCAGAATTTATCGCATTTATGACTTAGGGGCCGCGGTTTACTTCCCTCCGTTTAGTCATGCTGGATCAGGAGTAGTAAACTCAGCGATCGTGGGTTAGTTTCCCACACTGGGCACAGTTTTTTTTTTTTTTTTTTTTTTTTTTTTTTTTTTTTTTTTTATTAAGGCAGTTTAGTTGATAATGGATAATGAATAGCAAACATGGAGGTTGTGTGTTCGATTCCCACACGAACCATTTTTTGTTCTTTAAGGCAGTTTATTTGATGGTGGATAATGAATGTACCGGTATTGTGCTCGTTGATGACGTCGCGAAATAACAACAAACAACTTGTCATGTCCGAGCCTAGGCCGTCATGGAGGTTCACTGGATTCTGTGTAATTCATCCAACTGCAGACGAAAAGGTTAAAATCTTTTCAGAGATAAGCTGGGAGAAAATTTTAGACAGGCTCATCAATGGAAGGGTTTTAATACTGAGGAATGGACGTTAACGAAGTCCTTGGCTTGCTTAACCGTTTTTCTTCGATCGTCGCTTCCAACCGTCTAGGCGCGTCTAGCCTAAATAGGGCCTACATATCAGGTCGAGATCCATGAAAAGTCGTTTATACACAATACAACGTGTTTGAGGTAATTAAAGTCATAGTGAATTCTACTTTCCGAGACTGGATGACAAAAAATAAATCTAGGCCTATATGTAATGTACAAAGGAAAACGATAAAAAATATATAAATTTTAAAATTAATTTTTCGTTGCTTGTCTCGTTACACTAGAGTTAAAATAGGCCTATGTATGGAATTTGGCACAAATGAATTTCGAAAACGGCAGCATGATGAGCGTGGAGGGCATACTAAAGTCTTATACCGGGCCTGTTAAAACTAAAATAATCATGGAGAGGATATGTTTGGTCATTTTATGTAGGCCTATTTTAAAGAAGGGAACCTGCTTCTCATAAACCATGCAATTAATGCATCCATGGGTAAGAAAACGAAATTTTAAATATAGTAGAACCTCCTGTGAGACACTCGACTAATAATCAGCGGACACCCCTATTAAGGGGACACTTCCGTGAACCGAGGGAGAATATATTTTCAACACTATGCGGCCAAACCCTATTAAGGGGACACCTAAAGGAGACGGCCGGGACGCGATTTTTTTTTCCGTACGAAACATTTACATGAAACTCCACTCGGGCCGTCTCGGCTGAATCGACCCGAAAATCTCATTGCAGAATTCAGGAGGTCAAAAGGTCATCAACGGATAAACGTCTACA